TGGCGATTTACGGCCTATTTGGGAGAACGCACGTGGCCGAACAGACCTACGCGATGCCTGAATGTGCGAGGGCAACGCGGAAGATGAGGCAATGGCGTCTGGTGTACGCTGATGCTCCAGGCACCGGCTTGCCAGCTTCTGTGCGATGCATTCGCAAGTGACCGATGGGTAGGGTGAATGTGCGCTGGCAGTGTGAGCAGGATGTGTTGGGCGATGCTATGTCGGTTGCCGTTGTGGTGCTGGTAGAGGTGACCGCGCTGGCGGGTGGAGAGTTGATGGGGCTGTGGATGGGAAGTTTGCGGGTGTGCAAGGTGAGCTATTGGACGATCAAATGAGTTGCCCTATGGTCCGCGATAGCACATCCGCTTTGTGCAGCCTTGGAAGGTCATATTCGTGTGCAGTATGGGGATCACTGAGGACCAGGAACCTGGAGTCATCGGGATTTATGAGCTCACGCGAACCTTCTGCTCTTGAGTTGCCCCAACTTAAGATGGTAGCTTCCTAATGATCGGATGTCTAGTTTCTCCAAAGTGCGTTCCAAGTTGAGAGTTTGAGTCTAGACTCCGAGTTACCGATTTGTGCTCTTGTAAGCTAGTTTGCAACTTCCGCTCGGTTTCCCCAATATCGTTTCAGCCCCCAACATTGCAACTTATTCTGTAGACAACTGTTGATGTTGCAGTGGATGGCAGAATGTCCTCAGGTTTCATTAAACAACGCCGGATTGTTGCCTGGGGACAAAAGGCTATGCCTACTAATTTGAGTTGTAATGGGGTGTAGGGGTGTTCAGCAGTGGGTTCACGTGACGGACGTAGTAGGTCGCTCGCTTGCTTGCAGGTGTAGACTACGCCTAGAACCCATTTACTGGCACCCAACCCTCACATGTGGCTCCCCGAAGCTAGGCTCTGTCTACTGGCCACACCTCGGCAACCGCCTCGACCGGTGAGCTAGAACAGGTGAGGATATCCAGGTGTGCACACAGTAATCTCGGCTCCGCTGGCCGGCAATGGTATCCCCGTGATGGGGTCCCATATGGAACACCGTAGGAGGCCACAAGGTAAGGGAGTCACTAGGTTAGCGAACATTGTTCTGCTGCCTTTGCTTTTGCTTGTTCTTCGTTATCTGCCTTCTGTCGGCTTGTTTGTGTCTGGCCTTATTGTAAGCTAAATGCAGTTCTGTTGAGTGTGTCTGCGCATCGTTTATATTTCAGCCGCCAGTTAGCTTAAAGAGGATTCCGAAAATTTTACATTTTGTTTCTCTATACTTCCCCCACCCCTTCAAGCTTACGGCGATATCGTAGGAGTCCCAGGCTAACTCGGGTCATCCTCCCATTAAACAGAAGTCGTGGCCCATGGCGGAGTTCGGCTGCCGTATGGGACAACTAAGCAGCACTATTTAGAGAGAACACTGCTCACCCCCGTGAGGGCGAAGGGGCTGGAAAGGCTGCCCCAAACAAATGCTGAGAACCCACGCCGTCTGCAGGCTGGTTGTGGCCTCAGACACAAAACTCACGGTCGAAACAACCAAACGAGAAACAATACTATGTCTCTCATCCCCCTCCTCCTCATGCAGTCCCAACTCACGGGCTCGTTGGGTGAGCCCGCTCATTTTGGCAGCCTGGAATGACTGTCCCTTTTAGACTTTTAGAAGCAACCGACCAGAACGGTGGACAGCGTTAGTGGATCGCGAACTAGCGCGCTACAAGGTGGGCATCGCTGAACTCGGCAAGACTCGCTTCTCCGAACCGGGCCAACTGGAGCAGGTTACTGCCGACTACACCTTCTTCTGGAGCCGTCGCCAAAAGGCAGAGCGACGGGACGCGGGCGTCGCCTTTGCCATCCGAAATGACATCGTGGGACGACTACCCTGTCTGCTGCAGGGCATCAACGATCGCCTGATGATTCTCAAGGGAGGCAAATTTGCCACTATTATCAACGCCTACGCACCCCCGATGACCATCCCCGACGCCGCAAGGGGCAAATTCTACGAGGAGCTGCATGCCATTCTGGCGACTGTCTTGAATTTGGATAAGCTGATTTTCCTTGGTGACTTCAATGCCCGCGTCGGCACAGACCATGATGCCTGGAGAGGAGTGTTGCGTCCCCATGGTCTCAACGGCTTCAATGACACTGGTCTGCTCCCTCTACGAACCTGCGCAGAACATGACTCATCCTGACCTACATCTTCTTCTGACTCCCAATGTGAGAGATCACCTGGATGCACCGTCGGTCGCGACGCTGGCACCTGCTGGACTATGTCCTCGTCCGGAAGTGAGACCGGCGGGACAAAGGCAATCCCCGGTGCCGACGGGTGGACCGACCATCGCCTCGTCATCTCGAAGATGCGGATTCGCCCACAGCCTCGCAGGAAACCTCAAGGTAAGTGACACCCAGATAAGCTGAATATTGCCTTGTTGTCTTTGCCTGCTCACCATCTCCATTTCAGCATCGAGCTAGTTCAACGGCTGGCCAACATTCCATTCGCCGTTGACGACAGCGCCTCCGTGGGGAACCGATGATGTCAACCGGGAGACACAGTCCAGTCGACGACCCTGGCCATCCTCGGTTGCGCAAGTCGCCAACACCAGGATTGGTTCGACGACAGCAACGCCGCCATCAGCAGCCGGCTCGAAGAGAAGAACAGTCTGCACAAAGCCTACGTCACTCGCCCCACCGACGACAACAGAGCAGCCTTCTGCCGCAGTCGCCGTCTTCTACAACAACGACTGCGCGAGGCGCAGGATGCCTGGACGGCTCGCAAGGCAAAGGACATCCAAGGGTACGCGGAACGCAAAGAATGGAAAAACGTCTTTGTCGCGACCAAAGTCCTCTACGATCCGTCAATCAAAGCTACTGCACCTTTTCTCAGCGCCGATGGCAGTACCCTACTCACTGAGAAGACACAAATTCTACAGCAGTGGATCATGCAATTCCGGGGCGTCCTCAACCGTCTCTCCACCATCTTCAACGCCGCCATTGCCGTCCGCCTCAATTGGAGACCAACGCCGACATCGACCTCCGTCCTCTCTTTACGAAACCGTCAGGGCCGTACAGCAGCTCTCCAGCGGGAAAGCGGATGGATCGGACGCGATACCCGCTGAGATCAACAGGTACGGCGATCCCCAACTCATGGATCATCTGACGGCACTCTTCCAGAAGATGCAGCGCTAAGGAGAAGTCCTGCTGGATTTCAAGGACGCAACGTTCGTCCATCACTATAAACGGAAATATATTCGCCGGCATCTCCTTACTGGACATCGCTGGAAAAATCTTCGTTCGCATCCTTCTCGGCCGTCTTAACAACGACCCAGAGCAAGGTCTCCTGCCGGAAAGTCAGTGCGGCTTCCGCCGTCATCGTGGGACCACGGACATCATCTATGCTGTCCGCCAAATGCAGGAGAAGTGTCTGGAGATAGTCATGCGGAAACTCATACAGAAATTGGGCTGTCCCGAACGATTCACTCAAATGGTGCGTCAGCTTCACGACAGCATGATGCCGCGAGTCACGGACAATGGATCTGTTCCAGAGGCGTTCGCAGTGACCAAGGAAGTGAAGCAGGGCCGCGTCCTCGCGCCTATCGTCTTCAGTCTCATGTTCTCTGCCATGTCGACGGACGCCCACTGTAACGAACGCCCCGGGATCCGCATCGCCTACAGGACGGATGGTCAACTACACAACCACCAGAGGATGCACCTTCAATCGCGCGTATCCACAAGCATAGTTCACGAACTTCTTTTTCCGATGACTGCACTCTAAATTAAACTACTGTAGGAGACCTGCAAAGAAACATGGACCTTTTCTCCGCCGCCTGCGAGAACTTCGGTCTGATCATGAACACGGGGAAGCCGGTGGTCATGCACCAATCGCCACCCAACACTGCCCACAATGCACCGCAAATCACCGTAAACGGAACCCAACTGCTGGTGGCGGGCAACTTCACGTATCTGGTCAAAACCCTCTTCTGCAGTACCAACGTTGACGATGAAGTGATCCGCAGAAGTTTAAAGGTCAGTCAAACCTGCGGTCGTTTTCAAAACACAGTTTGGATTCGTCAAAGTCTTCAACTTAGCACGAAACTGAAGATGTACAAGACCGTCTTTACTCTATGGAACAGAGACCTGGACAGTGTACACGAAGCAGGCACGTCCTTTTCAGATGTCTTCGCCAATACAGAAACTGAGTCGGCAGGACCGGATCCCAGACACGGACGTACTGGAGCGAACGGGAATCCTCAACGTCTACGCTGTGCTAAGACAATTGCAGCTACGCTGGAGCGGTCACCTAGTACGGATGGACGACGAGAGACTACCCAAACTACTCTTCTATGGATATGTCGCGACGGGGTCACGCAGACAAGGAGGTCAATTCCGTCGCTATAAGGATACTCTGAAGACCTTCCCGAAGTGCCTGCAGATCAACCCTGCAAACTGGGAAGACCTTGCCGAGGACTGGCCTACGTAAAGCAGAACAGTGAAGACAGGCGTAGCAATCTTCGAAGCCAACCGCATCACCGTCGTCAAAGCCAAACTAGAGACACGCAAATCTCAACTGCCGCCGCCGCTGCCTCACAGCGCCCAAGCCCAACCGCCTCCAACGTGTCCATGATGTCAACGGACATCCCGGGCGCCAATTAGATTTGCTGGACACCTCCGGACCAACTGCGGCACCCGGACTGCACTAACCACCGTCTTTCCGTCCACTTTTTCCTCGCCTCTCACGCCGTCAACTAACGTTGATCGTCCTCCCAAACCACCACTACCATCCTTCTCCCCTCCCCTCGCCCTCTGTCACCGCCTCAATGTCTGCCGCTGTGGCGTCTGCCATGACCATCGACACTACAAACAATCCTGACATACCAACAAACACCAACACCACCACCGTCAACACCAGTGACGAGGATCGGGTTTATACTTGTTCTCATTTCTATCGCACCTTTACCTCACACATCGACCTGGTCGGACACTTGCAAATCCATCGAACAGAGACTGGTGAACCAGTGCCTGCAGCACCAGCCTATAATCGCCTCGTCCGCCTCTACTGTCCACATTACACTGGCACATTTATTCACCGCATGGTCTATTAGGCCACATGCGCGTCCACGAAAACCTACTGTAGGCAACCGTCGGCCGCATCACACCATCACATCCTCCCTCACCACCATCTCACCGCACATCACCTATGGCGAGCACCCAACTGCCACCTCCTACACAGGGGGGTGTGTATCTCGGTCACTTCACCATGCGGCTCCCCTGCTGCATGCGTGATCGGAATCTGAGACGAAGACGGTGCGTCGAACGCCGTGGCTCGTAAGGCAGCTGACGGACTTCCCAACTCAGTCCACGCAGTCTGCCTACTTGTTGTGTGGAGTGGTGAGCTAAGAGCCAGACTGTCATGGCCGCTTCTCAAGCGATGTGTGGCACTTATGTATGTGAGGAGCGTTTCTGTTCGTGTGTGTGCCTTGTGGGTAGTGTCCCTCGGTCGACGACTGAGGGTGACGGTCCAGGTTAAGTGCAGGGCCACGCGCTGCAATTCTATGTCAAAAGGTCTGAAAGCGTGTGCTATGCCAGTACCAGTAAACCGTGACCCTCGCAGCCTGGTATGCGCCGGCAGTTCCCCGGCACCTGGATCCCTGCCGGTAGATGCGCTTACGCTCCCGCTGGATATACAGGTAGTAGGCATGACTGCCCAGTCATCCTCATCCTTTTGACCCCCGCTGAGGTGTTGTTGCTTTTGAGGAATCCTGGTCAAATGCATGTTGTGGACCAGTGTGTGGTAGTACGCCTGGGTCCGGCTCCGACAGTGCCATCCGCCTTCGTCCCCACCCACCTCCGGTTTTCTTGACTCTGTCTTGACAGCGAGCCCGAGTGGGAAGTGAGGAAGGTGCGGTAGATGATGCGCAAGTCTACTACCACCATAAAGTAATTCACGCGCAGGTCAACACGGATGCTGCACTTTGGTAGACATCGTCGGAATCGGTCGGATTGTTGGGTTTTAACAGTCCAGAGACCGCCTCGGAGACATAACAAGCCCGGAACTCTGGCTAACATTTGGTGAACACCAGTGCCCTACCAATCGGAGGAAGCCCATAGAGGTGCCTTGAATCTGTTCACCATACGTGAAATAGGCCTTAGAACACTGTCTTTTAACTCCGAGATGTCCGGACTTCAAGGGCTTGTTCCTCTCCTCATAGCGTTCAGTCAGTAGTTGATTCACGGCTATCGCCAGATGCTGTCATGTGGACGTGAAGAGCCAAAGCAAAGGACACCAAAGTGCACCACAGACCCATCTGGACCCAATTTCAGGTGTCTTGTGCGCTCGAAGGATTAACTCGTAGATGCTAGTTGTGGGCGAGCCCTCGGCTAGGAACTTGAGACGAGTGAACATCAATTTTGCCAAACCATCTGTCGCAGCGCCACGACCGGACATAAACGGTCTGAGTGCTACACCTGCCTATCGTAAAAACGAGCCTGGGCGCCGCTTAAAATTAGCAGGCCGCCCTCTATTGTCAGCCGAAGATCCACCCGTGACTAGCATCTGCCAGTCACTTCGAACGCACCAAACGGTGACCGAGCGGTCGATACCTAGCTCTTCACGATCTGAGTGAGACAACGGCGACCAGAGACACGACCAGTAGGTGAACTTGCGGTGTGCGGCGGCCTCCCTCCCCCGGCCCGTATACGCAGCACCGGGGGGCGCCCGGCGTCGCAACGTTAGACACAAAGTTACGTTTCCGGACACCAACCTGACCACCGGACAGAGCGAGTTTACAGAAAATCCACCCCAGGTTCGCCCATACCTCCATTTGCATAGCCGACCCTCCAAGCCCTGCCGGCATCCCGACTACTGATACGCCTGTCAGTGTGATAGTCTGCGGCAGGCAAAACACGATTCAAGCGCGCAACCAGTACGCGCAGCTCTTCGTCATGACGGCCCCGGCTGAATACCGGGACCCGGACCCAAGCGGATCGACGTCCGTCCGGGGAGATGCACCAACCTTCGCGAATCTCACCGGCCACCGTCGCGAGTGATTGCGACAGATGTGCCCCAAATCGGCCTTGGCATACGGAAGGGCCGACATGGACGTCGGGCCCCTGCGTGGGCCAAACCAGCACGCCGTACGCGACCACTATGCAGCAGTAAGCAGTCAGGGCTTTTGTATTTAATCAATTCAGGAAGACAGTATTCAAACCAACACATAAGCGGTTGAGGGCCGCTAGTGGAGTCCCCGTGGAACGCAGGACATCGGCGAGTCGGCGACCGTCTGTACTCCCCACTACAGAAGACAAAAGCAGTTCTAAGTGCTCTGCAGCAAAGTATTCAGAATAAAGTTTCATTACGGAGCAGACATATGCTTGTCAATATTCATCACTCACCTCGACCATACCTAACGCCAAGCGGAGAAAGGCGCATGGGACTCACTGACATCTGTTTGACGGACTAACGCATCCGCGAGAATCACCAGTCCTACGCGTTCGTCAACGGCGCAACAACGACTCCTCAACCATCACGAAGTCCCGAAGGACAGCGGTTAACGCGGATCGGGTGCGTCGACATCCCACTGTGAAAAAAAAACACCCATTAGACAAGTCAAATCAGATTACTAAAATGCATAGCATAGACAAGACCGCAGCAACCAGCCGCACCGACATGTGGATGGGGAATCTTTGCCAAACCCACCGGCTGCCTGAGACTTCACAGACGGCCACCTCGGGGCCGGCATCGCTGTACCTTTGCCTTACACCCACATGGGACTCTATCATGCGGATAAGATTACAAAGGACAGGTGACAGTGGCTGGTGCTTAGCGGACATCAGCCTCATAAGCCATCTTAACATCACTCACCGGACGAACACACGACCACGAGGAGGGGGAACATGCCACGATGTGCGCGTGCGAGCAAAGTATTTAAACAAGTGGGAATGTTAGCAATCAATAATCATATCATCACTCAAAATGGAAAGAAGCTTGCTTTAGTCAGTTGCCCCGTTATTTTCGTGCGCCCCCGGCGAGGCCACTCTACAATTGTGCACAGTACAAAGCCCCTTGTAAGTGATCGAAGCGCGGAAAAATCAACTCCCCCCCCCAGAGTTTTGCCGAGGAAGTAAATTCTCCGGACGTTGTATCCATGCGAACTCTTTTGTCATCTCGTGAGATTGTCAAGCTTTGTCCTCTCGTTTGTCATCGATTCTTAGAATTGCCGTAAAAATAATTGTCAGCTCTGCAGCCTGATATGCAGCCATCTTTATTTTGCCCGACAGTTACAAAGAGGAGTATTATATTATTCGTTCGACCGTCCATTTTGTAAATGTAATTATGAAAGACAACAAAGTTTGCACTGCATTTAGATCTACGAAAGTGGTTTGAATAGAGTTCTGACATGTTAACCTTTTTTGTTGCTAAAAAGAAGCTGAATCACTAACATGTGCTGAGCCTGAAGGAAGTACCCGTGAGTACGTACTTAAACCTAAGAGCCCTGCTGCCACATATCATTGTCCGAACGACTGGGCTAATTGACGTAGACAGTATCATGGTCTAGTCCAAAAGGTCGCTCAACTTTTGCTTTTTAACGTATCTGTTTAATGGTACTGCACGATGTGCAACTAAGCCGCCCTATAGAAACTGTCAGGCGTGTTAACTACTAGCCTTTATTTGCTTTAGGGAGACTAATACAGAATGGGGTGGTGTGGGTCACTTGTTGAAATTTTAGCTGTTGGCCCTGCTTTTTGAACGAATTCGATGAGGACAAAGGGCGGAGCTGTGATTTCGTCAAGCGGCCAAGTCGATAGTAGTCCACCGTAGTCTCACGAACACAAAGCAGTTTGCTTGCGCAATACGGTCCAAAGATCAGTCTACACAGATCAAATACCCATAAAATAGGCACTACATGTCCGATATGTTAAAAACATAAGATGGACGACTTCTTGGACTGAGCCAAAGCCCTCCATCCCAACCCTGCCAGCACCAGCCGCGGCTGGCCATGCCTTGCCGCCGCGGCAAGACGTGGCTACGACGCGGCCAAACGTGGCCATTGGGCGTGGCTAAGGTGTGGCTTTCGACATCACAGCCAGGTCTGGCCACACCATCCGAAAAAAATGCGTGGCGGCGCCCCCCATTCTCCATTCGTCCCCCACCCTTTTATGGCCTCCGTTTTTACTCGCGAGTGCACTCATTCTAGACTGGCGGCTGTCGCTGTAAGATTACATGTGTCACTGGATCCTCCTAGCCTCGGCTAAAGCAAATCAATTGATTGACCATTAATGGTCAACACCCCGCGTAAGTGCACAACCGGACAACCGATAGGATCTCCCCATTCTCCATTCGTTCCCCGCCCTTTAATGACTTCCGTTTTTTTACTCGCGAGTCCACTCATTCTAAATGGTCGGCTATCGCAGCACGATTACATGTCACTGAACCCTCCCAGCTTCGGCTAAAGCAAATCAGCGGTAAACACCCCGCGTAAGTGCACAACCGGACAAACTAGTTAGCATTCACTCTGTCCCACGACATAGGAAAGTGGACAGACAATGGTTAGAAACGACGGTTTATTGAGTATTTACAAATGAGAAATCGGTACGAAAAATACAGGCGGGGATGCAGTTCTCCAATGGACATTAAAGGGCTTCCACTGGTTATCGGCGGTTCCTGTAAAAAAAAGAACTGTGGTAAAACATGGGTAATGCTCTTGTCATTGAACTAATCAATAATGTCAATAATAGGAGAAATGCAATTCCTAGGGGGCGTATCATAAGGAGGCTTCCTTCGGGGCAGGCCAGACGCGGGTCCGGGTTCCGAGTAGTGAATTCGTCTGCCCGTCCCCAGGCACTGGAAATTCACGCACATAGTTCTATGTACATGACCCTAATTTACCTCAGGGCTGATGCAGAGAAGCCCGGATGTCCTTTGTCAAATTAATTTATTTGCCCGTATTCGGTTTTACGAACCACTTTGACAAGAGGCAGCGACGGCGCGAAGTAATTCGGGACGCTAATTATCTACGCGGTCAACCAGGGCGGGCGCGACACTGATCACAGTAAAATACGGGTCCGACGCAGACCCCAAACCGGTCAACGAGGGCCGGGTAAAATGAGCTGTGTCTCACTTTTCGAACTCAAGAGATAGGTAGGCGGATTTACTACTTCTGCGAACGTCAGATCTCGAGTTATTTAACAACGTACTTTGCAATAGTTATTACAATATAATAATCACTATTGCAAAGTACACTGTTAATTCATACATACTAGTATGTATAAATACTTCCGAAATACATACTATCATTATAATTATTGAAAAGAGGGAAATAACATAAAGTGTGTTAATAGCAGTCTTTTTCAGTTAATTTACGTGTGCTTCGGAGGGGAGAGTTGTGGGCATGCGAGGTCATCAGTGGAGACTCCTTGAAACTGAACACATTTAGGCAGTTATTCAAAGCAAAATGTCGTACTGTGTGAATATTGCGCCTGCGTCTCGATCGTCCTCCATAACGGTCCTTCGACCCATGGAACCAATTAATGGCCGTAAGTCGAAGTACCTTCCTGTTTCAGTTGCTAAAACGGGGGTTTTGACCGATGGCATCTGTATGTGCCAATAAGCAAAAAGTAGACCTACCGTTGACGATGCTAAATAACGGGCAGGCAAGGAACGACCGCTTCTTTTTGGATCCGCCCCTCCAGCAGAAGGTGTAACAAAGCGGCGGACCAATGAGGGCAGTCAGAAGATTTCTGACAAAGTCCTTTTTACTCCGCCCTCCCACCACGGCCAGCTGTCTGATCTGAGAACAGTCAAACAAATATACACATACCGCCTTGTCTGCCAATTCCGCCTCAGTAGTTAGCCGACGAACGAAGTCCTCGTAGGCTTCGGCTGTGCAAAGTGGCAAATGCAGATGAGAGGGCCCGACGTCGGCAGCAGTGGCACCCCTCTCTAATTCACTGATAGCAATAGTCATTGTTGCCTGCAGTTGCCGCACACTGTTGTTGAGGGCGACCATTTGCTCGGTCAGGAAATCGACTTTGTTTCTAATAGATTGTCAATGAGATTGTCAACAGTCTTACTCGAGGGACGCTAACCGAAAGTTTACGTCATTCTTGTCACTCTGCGCCTGATGGCTACATGCAGGTTCGGTAGCAGGCACTGGCGCAGGTGCCGGCATTTCCCTAGACAGCCTTCGGTAATAATTAATAACAGGCAGTTACCGATATGAAGTCGATGGCGTAGGGTGACTCGACTGAGAGAAGAGGTGGGGCATCTGTTCGTCCATCCTTGGCGTACGAATAATTAACGATAATTATGCTTACTGTAATATTCGTGGTGGTGTTGGCCAACCAAGTAGCTGTCTCGGACGATAAAGTGGTTCGTCATCACCGTCTGAATCCGACGTCTGCCTGCGGACATACCTGCAAAGGAATATTAACAGTATGGGACATGTACTTTCTCCTCATCCCCCTGCCTAATTCGCCCGTCTCAGAGCTAGAAAGGTTGTCCGACAGCTCTGCTTTCCGGACCAGCTGTCTGGCCTTCAGCAGTGTCAGGTTACTTTTTAGTAGCCGAACAGCGTACACCTTGGTGCCGTCTGGTGGCCGCCCGTTATTATTCAGCAGGACGGCCCGCTCGTTGTGCTTCTTAGGCCACATAACGCTGCCAACGTCGTAAAACCAGGCTGCAGCCACCACGGCCACAGTCTTGTCATTTATGAATTCGACAACCGAATACATCTACAGGGAAATTTATATCAAATGAACAATGTAAACAAGAGTCACCGCGCACGCACAGTGTGCAGTAACGGAATCAGAAAAAAACGACCGTCAATATCAAAGGAAATATATTTACAAATGATGTCTGAGAGGGCAGCAGTTGAAGGAATGTCTGACAAACGGGAGGCTTTAAACATATACAAGGAGGATGAGGGAAGGGATGTTGTAAAAAGGTCCTCACAGTCAAGGAACGGGTGGTAAGTTATGCCGGTATCCGACACTGATGTCAGCAGGCACGGTCTATTTCCGATAAGTACCACATTATCGGGCTGTTTACTTGACAAAACAAAGTCTCTGTAGAAAATTGCGGTAGATCCGCGAGGCAGTTTAAATGCCCGTGCTACTCCCTCGTCGTCGTCTAACAGCATTGGGCATGTTGGTACCTCAGGCAAGCGTCTTTCAGAAAAGCGCTTGAAAACCTGCGCGGCTACGTTAGTAGGCCCTTTTATACTGCTGCGGACACTTTGTAAAAAGGACTCGAAAGGAAATGCCGAGAAATTATTCAACACTCCAAACTGAGACACATCGTCATACAGGTGAAGCAGACAATGGACATTGTAAATAATATCGGAGGGACTATACAAGGTGGGGAAATTAACAACAAAGCGGAGGACAAAACGACGGGGCCTATGTACAGTAGGAATTGCCTGTATTCGGCGGCCTTCCAAAACTCTAGACAATCGAGTGTTCTGCATTTACGCGAAAACTCGGCCGGCAAATTTTGGCTGCACATCTTAATAGACTCATTCAATGAGTCAGAGTGCCTGCCGGAGCCCAGACGCCAAATATGCAGTAACTTTCGCATGACGCCCAGGCAAACCAGGTGCATATAGTCGAGTGGGAAGGAGGTCACCATATCGACGGGCAAATCCTCGAACGGAGACCTGCCCTTGTGGTGTGGTTCCTGTCTTCGCAACCGGAATGACCTGTCGTCACGCAGACGCCCACTGCATACTGGAAACGTCATGCGGTTTGCAATACGTTTGCCCATATGGGAACACCTGCGGTGGTTATAGTTAAAGGTACGAAGCAACATACCTGTCACACCCGTAATAGCCATTTTGAGCTTTAACTTGCCACACAAAACATCGGGCAGGGGTGTCGCAGATAACATTGTCTAAGATCACCTTTACGCTATTTTGCGTATGTGGAATGCGCAGACCACTGGCCAGGAGGTCTTTCAGCTCGCCAACACAGTCGCCCAGGAAGTCATCCAACGGATTGGGTTTGCCGGGACCGGAGAACACTCCAACAATGAAGGGCTGCCCAACAACTGGATGGCGAACACGGGCAAGAATCGGCCACAGGCCTTGACTAGACCCCTTGAATATCTTCATTCCGTCGATATGCAGTTGGATGCGCATTTCAGGAACGCTTGTTTCGGGCAGACTGTGCAGTTGATCCAGCAGACCACGTTCAAGACCTAAATGAACATAGTTGCCTTTGTTCAGGGGCTTGCTAATGCAGGTCCGAGGCGTTTGCAATAGCGTCCTTGGGTCTTTAGGCACTTCTGGGTGGTAGGGCCGCAGCATCCGAAACAACTTCTTTGTTGTGGATAGTGGCATTTGGGCCTCCAAGCAGAATTCCCGTAAATCCGCCAGAAAGCATTTGCCTGCGACCGCGTCCTCGCTTATGTCTACTGGCTCTAAATTTGCTATTGAGTAACACAGTAAGATGACTACCAGTGCAAACTTCTGGGACTAGTTCGGGCATTTCTATTTCCGGTGGTTGGTCTACGACCGATGACGTAGAGGGAACGGAGGGATCAGCCATCAGCGCAAAATATGCCTTCTTCTCACGCGCAATCCGCTTGTAAATTGTGCTGCGATGGAAGCCATAATACTTGCGCTTCATGATTGCTTTCATTGATGGGTATAAAACAAGTTAAAAAAATTGAACTGCACTTGAAACGCTCACTGTGAGATTAAAATTGTAATTAAGTTAGGAAACCTACTTGCATAGCATTAAAGAGATTAGTAGTTGCGTAAGTAAGACCATAAAGACGCGATAGACATGAAATCGACGTGGGAAAACGTACCACCTTGTCGCGAGCGTCCGGTCGAGCAGCAGAAGAATGGCGTCCAAGTGGCCCACTTAAACAAAAGCGTCCTAATCGGCTTATCCAGGCAAATTATAATTCTCCAAGAAGTGAAGTCTCAAGGCCCTTTCTGGGTGAATTAACGTATATTCAGGCAAATGCGCAACATTAAAACACAGAAAATTTCGTCTAAGCGGCTGAAACGACTCTTGAAATTTCTCAAAATATGGCGCGGCCATGGCCACGTCCAGCCACACTTGGCCACACCCACAAGGCGGGGCCATGTGTTGGCAGGGAGTTTATCCTAGTCCTTAGGATGGCGAAGCGTAGTAGCAGGCTGGTTATGAGAGGCCCATCCTAATTTTTTGCAGAATACGGTGAAAGATAGCGTGTACGTAGGTAAGCTGACGAGAAAATTTAACACAACCAAAGTGGCAACTGTATAAAAGAAATGAAAATTGATATTTCAGTTTATTCAGTTTATTTGGTAAGGATGATAGGCAAGGCCGTTGAAAACCCTATTGAATACGTCATATACAACTGTACGCGAATAATGAAAATTGTCGCAATTAAAATGATGACTGCATGATTTAAGCAGAACTTTTTAACATACAAAATTTCCGTGGTTCATGGGGTTTTGGGCTCAGATTCAGACTGCTGAGGGAGAACAGGCAACATAAATAAACATCCAAGTGTTTCTCGAAAAACTACAGGTATCCCGCACCTACGACTGAGGGAGAGCAACCCATTTGTTCACTACCAGTTGTGTAAAAAATTCAGAGCGAATGTTCGTCTTGGACATCTTTGTGCGTAACTTCATGGAGTGGCCGCGAAGATTGGGCGAGAGGTGCCACTGAAACATATCCTCAAATTGCAGTCCCTGCTCAAAGCCACGTATTATCTGTAAACCGGGATAAGATCACCCCTTTGCTGCCTGCAACACAGAGAGAATAAATTAAGGCAGTTCAACAGTTATATGTAGGATTGGCTATTTAAACCGTCCACCAACTTTGTTGCACGATGTTGTACTCTTTCGATGCATGTTTGGCACTTTAAAAGCCATGGCTGCCACGCTTGTATGCCGAACAAAGGTGTCGTAAACTCTCCCAACAAGGCCTTCGTCAGCGGTCATTAACGCTTTTTTGATTGCACGAAGTACCCCCATGGTGTTTTTTGCAGCCATGCGATCTACAGCACTGGTTTCTTGTTGCTCTGTATCCAAACACTCAGATCCTTCTGCGAAGATTCTGCGAGAAGTGTAATGTCTTTTAGATGATATGTCCCCAGGCTCTCATTTCAATGAGAGTTGGTTGGACGCACATGATTGACGGCACACTTCACCATATTGAAATCTAAAAGCCACTTATCGGACCATGTTTGCAGTTGGCACAAATTATGTTGAAGGGATTTCCGGTCATTTGGACTCTTAAAGACTTACCAGGATTTAACGTCGTCGGCGAACATTATTTTACCGCAGTCGAGTTCCTGGCAAAAAGGGTAAAGAGAAGGGGTTTTGAGAACAGAGACTTCAGACACACTAATAGTCACGTTTACTCAGTCTAACATATCATCTCCGATACAGACACGCTGTTTCGAACCAAACGGAAACGCCCATATCCAGTTCAGAAGATCCCGCTGGATGGCGATGGCCCTCAATTTATGAAGAAGTCGTTGGTGCGGTACAGTGTTGAATGCTTTGCAGAGATCGATTTACACGGCCCCAAAACCCTATGACCTCCAGCGGGTGAGCAGATTTGAGAGGCAGGAGCGTCCTCTCCAGAAGCCATGTTGAAAATCCTGCAAGATGTTATTTTCTTCACAAAGTTGTTGTGTAGCTCTCTATACTAGAGCTTCCATCGTTGTGCATGAGAGGCAAGTCAGGCTAATGTGCCTGAAGCTGCTTGTTGCCCTCCTGCTACCTCCCCTATGTAAGGGAACGAGGTTGGCTTTCTTACGCCCTGAGGGCAGCCTCCATGTTACCACCGACAGGTCAAAGAGAGTCAAAAGAGGCTTCAACAGCTCCGCTAATAGCCCCTTAAATATCAGCCCGCGAATCCTGTCGGGTCTAGGAGACTTATCTGGTTTTATTGACTGAGAACGCCTCTTACTTCTTCGATGGAAAAGGCAACGATTATAATAACGGCGGTGTCTTGGCGCATTTGAACCTCCCGGCTGTCTTGGCATATTTCAAACTCCTGACTGTCCTCAGAGGACACCTCCCTAAAAACCGATCGAAAAAAATGAGACAGTAATTGCACTTTCTATGGTCCTTCAACTAATAAGTTTCCGAGGCTACATTTTAAAGACGTAATTTCGTCCCTATCTTTATCCTACTGCGGATTTATCCATAAGACTTCTTGGGAAATTTAATGGATTGTACTGTCAGTTGGCGCTTGAAAGAAACTCTAGCGGCCCGTATTTGTTTGCAGCATCTTTTGCACTGCTGCTTATATTCGACGAATGCTATTAGATTTTGAAATGTAGATACTTTTTTCCACAGCCTCTGTTTCTTCTTCATGGTCTTTTTGTAATCGGAGTGACCAATGGCGGTTGCGTACAAGGTCTTGGCATTTTTACTGGACAATGGGGGTCAATTAGACGCTCTATAATCTCGCAAAAGTAGTGCCAGTATATCTTGTGAACCTTCCATGTTGACCAACCAGGTTTCCTTCAGAAGTGTACGTCTCATTTCTCTCTTAATTTCTGGCGGTTAGTTTGATGGGAGAGAGTACACGCAGGCAAAAGTAATATGCTCACTTGAACCGAATGGAGGTTGTGCATTCACTTCCCATATTACTCCTTCTTCTTTATTGAAAACGAGGTCTAAACAATTAGATCGTTGTCTTTCCCTCTGTCTTATTCTGAATTCCATGCTTTTAATGAGTTATTCGTCTACAGAAATATGTACTAAGTTTTTTCGTTCACTTCAGTTCCTCATATATAGCTCAAAGTATTTGTTATAACCTCAAAAGCTTATAGAGTCTCAGCAACTCAACTGTAATAGTACGACCATTGGCGCGGGACAGTCAGTCGACAGAAAAGTGTATTTCCAAGCGAGGGGTCCGTAAATCACGCTCGTCATCATACAAAGAATTCACCGAAATGGCAAATTAAAGAATAGCGAGATCGCCGACAGTGTCTGGTTGTATACAGTCTGTCTGAATAGTGTCTCGGTGGATCTTGCTCCTTTTCATGGTCACTATGCCAATTGCTCCACGCAGACATAGAAGTAAAAGTCTTGAAGGCATTCCGAATAGGAAAACGGAGTGAAGGCAGGACATCAGCACTACCGCCTCGTCCTCTCAAAATTAGGCCGGAGAACCAAGAGCAAATCAAGTTGATCTGTGCTGAAGTGCTTGACTACTTGACCTTTGACAATCTTGTCACGTTTGTTTTACTGTAGCATTTGTTTTAACGTGACGAAGACTCCGCCGCTTTTAAGCTTCGCGCCGCTTGCATGCTCTCTGATCAGGTCGTTGCACATTTTGAATATTAACTTTATTCAATTACGGGCCTTCCTTACCTCTCTCCGTTTATGAGGTTAGTAAGCCGTAGTTCGTTAGTTCGCGGGAACGACATAACTTACGTCATTGGTGACTCCCGACGTTGGCGCAGACTTAAGTTCTTTCCTTCTGTAACATTTAATGACATTTAACGTCCTGTATCTACTTGCTAAATTTTAGTTCATTTACATTTTCCGCTAACCTTTTAACGATATTGTGCTACCTATATTTTGCTTACTATGTCTTCCTCAACTCAACAGCCTGACGTTCCTGCCGAGTCTGTTCATGCCGTCCATTTCACTTTGCCTGATTTTTGGCAACACGCCCCTGAACTTTATTTTATCCGCATTGAGTCAGCCTTTTACTCCGCCAACAGTACGAAGGAGTTGTCGAAATACCACAAACTTCTGGAGGTTCTCCCTGCCAATATTATCTCACAAGTTCAACCCTTGTTAGTGAAACCCCCTGCAGACGCTCCCTATTCTGCTCTGAAGGCGGAAATCCTTAGTCTCAATGCTGTATCTGACCGACAACGCTACCACCAGTTGATCAAGGAGGAATCACTGGGCGACCGAAAGCCCTCAGAACTTCTCCGACGAATGCGTACTCTCTTAGGAGACATGCAGGTCGACGAGAAACTCGTTAAAGAGATGTTTCTAGAGCGGCTGCCTGCAGATGTCCAAACGATTTTGGCATCCGGCTCGCAAGATCTTACACTTTCACATCTTGCTGAAATAGCAGACCGAATGTTAGAGGCTCAACGGTTCCAGCCACCTTCCGTTGCTCAGATTTCCACATCCTCTTCAACGGTTAACGAGCAGTTACTGCAACAGATGTCGGCTATGGCGAATGAGATAGCCTCCCTAAAGCTACAGCTTGCTCGCATTACCTGTAGTCGCTCACCCAGACGTCATCGTTCACGTTCGCGACCTCGCACAGCCAATTTGTGTTGGTATCACTCAAACTTTGCCGCCAAGGCTCGCAAATGTTCTTCCCCTTGTTCATTTAAACCGAAACAGGGAAACCAGCCAGCCAGAGAATAGACGCGACCGTTTTCTCTGGCTCTCCCTTCTCTGGTCGCACCTTTTATGTCTGCGACAATGTTACTTGCAGGCGTTTCCTGGTGGACACCGGAGCCCAGATCAGCGTGGTTCCCCCCACTCCAGTTGACCGCCGCTGTCCCAGCCCTGGTCTACATCTCCAAGCTGCAAACTGTTCCCCCATTTCCACTTTTGGTAGTCGTTCCCTCACGCTAAACATTGCTTTACGTCGATCAGTCTCCTGGATATTTGTGATTGCCGATATGCCTCATGCGATCCTTGGTTCCGACTTCCTAGCCGAGTTTGATCTCCTTGTTGACTGTCGGCGTTCCTGTCTCCTCGACCGCACAACTGGTCCTTCTGTCCGCGGTCTTACACCCTTTAATGACTCCTGAAATTTATCTGTTCTGGACACAGATATTGCTTGCCCATACCGAGACCTGCTCCTCCAGTACCCCAACATAATCAAACCCCAGTTTAGCAGTGGTGAGATCCAGCATGACGTTGTCCACCACATTCGCACCTCTGGCCTCCCAGTATTCGCACGGCCTAGACGACTGGCTCCGCCCCGTCTGCAAGCGGCGAAGGCCGAATTTGAGCACATGCTGCAACTGGGCATAATTCGGCCGTCCGAGAGTCCATGGGCGTCCCCTCTGCATATGGTGCCCAAGGCGAAATCAGACGACTGGCGGCCCTGTGGTGACTATCGCACCCTCAACAATGCGGTCATCTCGGATCGTTATCTCGTCCCTCATCTTCAAGATTTTGCTAGAGCTCGTTTCGGCAAATCGGTTTTCTCGAAGATTGACCTTGTTCGGGCCTTCCATCGGATTCCTGTCGCTCCTGAGGATGTTCCCAAAACTGCCGTCACCACACCATTCGGCCTGTTCGAATTTATTCGCATGCCATTTGGTCTTCGAAATGCTGCCCAAACATTTCAGAGGTTCATTGACCGAGTCCTACGTGGTCTCCCGTTTGTGTACGCCTACATCGATGACCTCTTGGTGGCCAGTCGAAATGCCGAGCATCTTGCCTTAGTGTTTGACCGCCTCGATCAGTTTGGCGTGGTCATTAACCCTTCCAAGTGTGTTCTGGGTGTGCCGTCCCTTGATTTTCTTGGTCACCATGTCGATGCACAAGGTTTGCGTCCCCTCTCTTCCAAGATTGAGGCCATTCGTGACTTTCCTCCACCAACCTCCAAGCGTCAGTTGCAACGTTTCCTTGGCATGGTAAACTTTTATCGCCGGTCCCTACCGAACTGTGCCGACCTTATGCTGCCACTCACCAACTTGCTCTCTGGTCCCAAAGGTCCCCTTGAGTTACGTGGCCACGCGCTGACTGCTTTTGAGAGAATAAAGGCCTCCTTTGCTGATGCTACCTTGCTCACTCATCCTGCTCCAGAAACCCCCTTTGTCCCTGATGCTTGATGCTTCGACCGTTGCCGTAGGAGCAGTCCTCCAACAGCATATCAACGACTCGACACGACCGTTGGCATTCTTCTCCAAGAAGCTTTCACCTGCCGAGACGAGATATAGCACGTTTGACCGCGAACTTCTTGCCATTTACCTAGCCGTAAAACATTTCCGACACTTCCTTGAGGGTCGTGACTTCGCAATTTTCACAGACCACAAACCACTTACATTTGCCATTTGATCCGATTCTGACAAATATAACCCGAGAGAGATTTCTCATTTGGATTACATCTCGCAATTCACCACCGACATCCGCCACATTGATGGCCCGAAGAATGCGGTGGCCGACATGTTGTCCAGACCTTCCTTCTCGGCGTTTCACCTCTCACACGGGATTGATCTTAGTGCTATGGCGGCTGAACAACGACGTGTTGGAGGCCCTGGCGGCGAGTCTGTTGACAGTCTTCAATTAGTTGACGTCCCATTGACCACCGGCACTGGCACAATCCTTTGTGACGTATCGACTCCTTATCATCGCCCTTATGTGCCTGCCTCGATGCGTCGAGCTGTTTTTCAAACTCCACGGACCCTCCCATCCTGGGATTCGTGCCTCACAGAAGCTCCTCGCGGAAAGGTTCGTATGGCCTGGGTTGAATGAGGAGGTGAAAGCTTGGGCACGATCGTGCCTTTGCTGTCAACGTAACTAGGTTCAACGCCACAACAAGTCTCCATCGGGCACGTTCCCCAGCCCCGATGCACGGTTCAACCATGTGCATTTAGATGTCGCAGGTCCTTTACCTCCATCCAGTGGCTATACTCACCTTCTCACCTGCGTTGATCGCTATACCCGTTGGCCGCAAGCCATTCCTTTACCGAATGTGCAAGCTGAGATCATTGTGAAAGCCTTCGTCAGTCGTTGGGTCGCCATATTCGGTGCGCCATCCATGATAACGACTGATCGAGGCGCGCAGTTTGAGTCCACACTTTTCCAAACTCTCCTCAACTTCCTTGGCTGCACACGTATTCGGACGACGGCCTACCGCCCAGCTGCCAACGGCATGGTTGAGCGTTTCCACCGCCAGTTAAAAACTGCACTGCGTGCCGCAGAAGATCCTGAAAACTGGTCAGACAATGTACTCGTTGCACTTCTTGGCATTCGTGCGGCACTAAAGTCAGACTTGGACTGCAGCGCAGCCGAAGTGGTTTTCGGCACTACCCTCCGACTCCCTGGTGAGATGGTCACCCCAACCTCTCGTGGTGCCGAAGAGACCCCCGAAAATTTTATGCATCGTCTGCGACAATTCATGCGCTCGCTTTCCCCGGTTCCACCTCAAGCTCCATCGACCGAGCCTTATGTTGAAAAAGGCTTAGCCAACTGCACCCATGTGTTCGTTCGGTGTGATCGCGTGCGGAAGCCGTTAGAATCAATATACGAAGGACCGTTCCGTGTGCTTGCACGTAACAGCAAGATCTTTCGGATTCTGCGAGGTGACAAAGAGGACGTAGTCAGCATCGACCGGGTCAAGGCTGCTGTTGCTGAGGAGCCCCCGGACGTGTCTCAAGGACAAGCATGTGCTGATCCCATACCTCCTCCCACTCCTTTTCCACTTTCTCCGCCTATCCCTCCGTCCCGTATACTTCCTCTTCCTTCTTGTTCGCAGCATCAACCTGCAACCTCTTCCTCCACCCTTAACTTGTCCACTACAACACCTACTCAGCTGCCTCCAACAGTGCCTCCCGCATATATCACCCGCAGTGGACGTCACGTTCACTTTCCCGACTGTCTAGTTACTCATTTCTCCTAGACCTTCGTATGTCCTCCTGCGTCGTTCACGCCGCCCTCCGGTCTCGGAGGGGGGTACTGTGCTGAAGTACTTGACTACTTGACCTTTGACAATCTTGTCACGTTTGTTTTACTGTAGCATTTGTTTTATCGTGACGAAGACTCCGCCGCTTGTAAGCTTCGCGCCGCTTGCATGCTCTCTGATCAGGTCGTTGCACATTTTGAATATTAACTTTATTCAATTACTGGCCTTCCTTACCTCTCTCCGTTTATGAGGTTAGTAAGTCGTAGTTCGTTAGTTCGCGGGAACGACATCATTTACGTCAGATCCTCACCAAAAAGGCCGACCTCAGAAACATACAAGAAGGGGATTTTCAGTCGGTCTACTCTCCAGTCGAACGACTGAAACGCTAGGAACTTGTCTCGGAATTAAAGTCGGCACTGAAAGATGACGAACACAACCTGACTATCTTCACAGACAGGTTCGTGGTACCAACCGCTCGAGGCGACAACACAAGTAAACCCTTAACTTCCAGTATTCTGACTGAAGCAACGGACATTTATGAAACTCATAAAGTAACGGAAGAGCGCAGTGAAAATGATATCGGAGATAACATAGTAATGCCCAGAACGATGATAAATGCAGCCCGAAATTCAACTGGCATAAAACTGAAGGGCTTTTGTACAAATGCCCAAAGCATCGTACGAAAGCTTGAAAAGCTAAAACGTTGTCTTGCCGGACTGTCTCCGGACGTTTTCGATAGCGGAAAAGCTTTGCCTGGATGCCAAATTTATCGGAGGGGCAGGGAACATCGTCAGGGTGGTGGCATAGTTGTGTATGTAAGGGAAGACCTGTCAGTGTCGGAACATACCACCAAGTATGAGTGCAGCATGGAAGCTATCTGGTTAACCACCAAGGCTACTGGCTCCCATTGTTTTTATGTCCTCACTGTCTACTGACGACCTAGGACAGATCAAATCGCCGGCGCTCATCTTTTGGAACAGTTGGAGAAATTTTCCAGTCGACCTAAAAGCATGATCATGGGCGACTTCAATGTACTAGAAATTAATTGCAGCGCTGTTCAAGCGCCAGGTCCTAAATCGACATCCGACTACCTTTTGCTCAATAAAAACTTCGAAGGCGCTCCTCATACAACATGCAATGTTTCCAACAAGAATACGTAAAGGACAAGGGGTTAACTGCCTGGATTAAGTTTTTATGAAATCATCAGACAGCATAGACGAGGTCATCTCCATGCCGTCCCTTAGCCGGAGTGACCGTACAGTGCTTATGTGAGATTATCTATTATTCTCCTTTTTGCATACTCCAGGCCAAAACAGATGCATCATTTGGCGGGACGATTTCGAGTAGATTAGGGCGGACGTATGCGAGTGGAGCCCAATGTTTGCGAGTACTGCTAACGGTGACTGAGAGTTGTTCAAGAATGTCCTTCTGCAACTCACTGTTATGTGCAATCTCTCAGCATCACTGTATCAGTTCACTGTAGTGAACAGATGCCCTTCTTTGTCAATACAATTTACTGTGACACAATTACTTTAAATGCCAGCAATCTTATTTTGAGGGCGAATCTGCGAAAGTAGTGTACATAAAGAGACTCATCAAGAGCTCTCCCTCTAACCTTCCAAGTATATACACGCATATACAAAACTCACCAAAAACAACTGTCCACCAACGAGTGTAAGACAGAACAAGCGGCCTGGATGGCTAAATAGCAACCGAAAGGAATTAGCAGAAAGCACAAATTGTAGAAGAAGTACTGCTTCATTGGGGAAGTAGAATGTTTATTCATCTACAAGACATAGGCAAACAGACTGAGGAGCAGGGTCATAAAAAGGTGCAGGGAATTCTAGGAGTATACGTTGCGGAAAGCAACACGAGCCGAAGATTACTCTACAGTCACCTCCGAAGTAGTGCAGGGAATCGACGCCAAAAACCATGAGTAAGGACGACCATTGGCGTTAGGATTGCTGATAGCAGGGATAAACTTGCGTATTTTCCATAGTTTTTCCAATTAGTCTACACAAACTAGGCAAAGTTCCTTCCTCGGTCCACAGAAGGACTGCAGACTACAAGCATAAGTATTATACTCTTCTCAGAAGGCATTGTCTGAGGGAATTAGAGTCACTGAACGAACCGAAGTCGCCAAGACCAGACAAGATTCCACGCAAGCTTCTCAAAGAACTTGCCTTTTTCGATGCTCTTTTAAACGCCATTTAACACTGGAACATTCTCCATCGACTGGAATCCGGCGCATATTACTCCGATATACAACGAAGGTAGCAGGGCATCGAAGACAAATTACAGGCTCATAAGCTTGACGTGCATTCTCTGCAAAGTTATGGAGAGGATCATAAAAAGTAAATGAATGCAATTCCTGGAAGTGCGCGATTAACTTTCGAACTGTCAGCATGGGTTCCGGAAAAGGAGGTTTACACGACAAACTTGCTGCAATCTCTCCACAACTGGACCAGACCTCTCTACGACAGACACGCGGTCCGCATAGTTTTCATTGACTTCCAGAAGGCGTTCGACACTGTGCCACATCAGAGACTGTTATAAAAGCTGCAAAAATAGTGATCAGAGACATCTTCCTCAGATGGATTGAAAACTTCCTTGTGGGCTGACAGCAGGTTGCGTGCATCGGTCAAGGGAAATCAGATCTTGCTGTGGTAGAGAGTGGTGCTTCCCAGGGTTCAGTACTAGGACCCATTTTGTTCCCAATACAAGCGAATATATATAAGGGAAATGGGCAGAGCCTTGGAAAATCCTATTTACAGATGGACGGAAAAAAGCAGGCACATATTTGCACAACAGTTTTGCCAGTCATTGATATCAAGTAAACATTTGACCATCAAGCATAAATTTATCAAGTCTTTTTTGAAGGTCTCAACGATTTCTGCCAAGACCACGGATTTCGGCAATTTGTTCCAACCTCTGACCAGCCGGTGGGTGAAGAATTTGGCCCGCACTTCAAGTTTGGCATATTTTATCTTCAATTTGTATTGGTGGCCTCGGAGATTGGTCGTTCGCTTCATTTCGAAGAAATCATCAAACTGAAGAGCACAGTCCAGCCCCCTGGCGAGCCTAAAGGTCATGATCATATCCTCTCTGCACTGTCTACAAGAGAGAGGAAACATTTTTTTTGCTTTTCCAGGCGTCTTTCCTAAGGTAAACAGCCTAATACACCGACCAGTTTGGTTACTGTTCGCC